TGTCAACATGCCAAACAAATATGGCGGCTCGATACGATCGCACGATTCATATAAAAAGAGGCGTGTAAAAAATATATATACACATTATAGACTCTGGGAATTCTAACAACGACACCCAATGTATTTCTTGGCCTTTTACGTCTGAAAAAGGCCGACACAACGCCTGCGATGCGTTTGGTCGCTTCGAGAAGACCTAAAAAATAAAGATAACAACGAAGGAATCATGAAGTTAAGGCTACCAAATTTGGTCAGCTAGGCGAAAACTGAATTCCGAAGACGGCTGCGAGGAAAAGGAACCACCTACAAAACGGGCGCTAAGGTCATCTCGGGTAAGTAACCTACATGTTCAGGATAGTTGCCTTTTTCCGTCCTCGGAAGATAAAAATTATTGTTTTGATCGATCGCGAAGTCCAGGTCTCTAAGGTAGCTCTGATTTCCGCTAGCAGACGGCAGCTAAAAATCTACAAGGAACTCGAGTGGTAGACATACAAACATTTGCACAAGGCCTCAAGGAATGTTTATTTTGTAAACGTGGATAATATGAATAATTTCTAATTTTACAACAATAGTAACCGAGTGATACACACTACGAGAATTGAATTTGCCGCAGTGCGGCATTTCGATGATGCTTGCAAGGATTCCTCGAAATGAATCGCTTAAAGGTACGTACCTTATTATCTTGCACGGAGCAACTATAGAATACAGGGCCACTGATGTCCAGTAGTGCTTGTGTTCGTGGTCAAAGAAATTCGCAATTCCGAAAAGAACATGCCAAATAAATATTCATGGCGCGATTCGAAAATGTGCGCAAGCTCAAATACCAATCTTGACGAAATTCCATTCCATTACGTAATGTTTTGCGACAAAGAAATAGGGGATCTTTCGAGTAAAATTTATCGCGTTTTCTTCGGTGGAATTCCCTAAGATTTGCTGAACCGTTAAGCATATTTGTGTCCTTCCTAGTGCCTGTTGACAAAAAAAAATTCATAAGACCCAATTTGAGATAGAGGAAGAAAACACAAAATAGCAAATAGCGAGAAAACTGCCCATGTAACCCCTATTTTCTCGGCTTTTAAATGATCGGCAGGACAATTTTCACAACTTGTGGAAATTTTAGAGATTCCACCGAAGAAAATGGAATAAAATCAAAGGCAAAGCCAAATTATCAACGGTAAGCCCCTCCCTTAGTGGAGCCTTAGCTTCATAACGAAAATAATTTTCTTAATATTTATTACAGCAAACGATAGTCCGAACCTTGCTCATTGCCTTTTGATAGCTTTTTATGACCTAGAAAAGTGAAAACAAAAAAAATTTTTACTAGAAAAAACAATACGCTGGCGCGCGCGCCAACATTGAGCAAAAACCCTATGGAGCCACCTTAGGCATCGTTTGTATCACATTTGGTAACTAATTCTATTTGCAAGCTTTTTGTCGATGTTTTTTTCAATCACAACTCAAAATTCATCAATAAAGGTAAAGAAAAACAGCCATTTCGTTCTAATTCTGCCGCATTTATTATGGCGAGTCGTACAGTATGCGCAAGAATTAAATGCGAACAAACTACTACATTCGAACTACTGAAATTGTTACATTAAGTCTTTGCTTCTTCTGATGCGAATCAACATTGCTACGAAACGTCATAACAATAGAGGAGACTACTGCGTCCAGTCATAGAAATAACTCGGTCGGATTTTCTAATTAAATAACGTTAAACAGTTTCTGAACAAGAACGAATCGCCCCATGTAAGGTAATCCGGATTCCGGAATCCAGAAAATTCTTCGATACTGATATGACCTGGCTAATTTCCCAACTAGCTATAAATCAGTCTTCTACTCCGATTCGAAAACCTTATTTCCTAGTAAAGTTTTATTTTAGCTTGCAGCTCTTTCTTTAATCTAAAGTTCTTTGGGCTATCTTGTGAAGATCCTGGTAATCATTTGCTTCGTCCACACAGCACATTCCATACCTCTCACTCAGCGTCACTGTCCACACAAATTACATCTGCAATGCAGCTTGCCTTGAGGGTTAATGTCCATGAGTTCGAGGAATTTGAGCCTGCGATTTTTGTTTTACTAACGAGAGCTCGAAATATCTTCATAAAATTTCGTCATGTGGTGTCGAAAAGAGTGCAGTTCACTCACGTGGTCAATGGGTCTGCAAATTTGGAGGAACAGAAGAAGTTGTTTGCAAAAGCGTTCAAATCCCATAGGATTTGTTTGGAACACCAACATGGCGACGGACCACACGTTTCAAATTACAATAAACTTTGAACAAAGATATGTATGAATACCTATGGAAGCCTGGAGAGGTCTATCTCTAAGTCGAATTTTCGCCATTTAAACGTAAACCGCTTTCTTTGATATTTGGCATTCGGAATAACAAATTTGAAGATTTCATAAAGCATTATATCTCGGTGCGAGTAAAACAAGATATTACCAGATTTTAGGGTCAAACGACATTTTTTAGAAAAGAAAAAAATAGCGGCAGGCCCCCTTAAACCTTTATAGAATCATTGCTCTGGAGAAAATCATAGCCGACGCAATGTGACTTGACTTGGTTAACCTTTTAAAGAAAAAAGGAAGTATAGAAAAGAGAACTTGTTATTCTTGGAAAATTACCCTGTAAATGCAGGTCTTTCGCGATTTTACAAAGGTTTAAGTATAGTTAAGTTGGTTGAACACCGTTTTATGCGCAATCTCATAATGTTGAACATCGTCGTCAATTACATACAGAAAAACAAGCTTTTCCTAGCTCAGTCTGCGATTTATTTGCGACATACACGGAGCGTTGTAAAAATTGTATTTCAGTTTAAATTTTTCCTCAATTTTGTGTTTGTTTTAAAGGAAAGTTAAAAAAGTAATTTGAGACGGAAACCGGAATCTGCAGGAGTAGAATCCAGCACTTGGAATATGGAATCCCCCGCGTGGAATCCAGAATCTAATAATGTCCTGGATTACCTTACATGGGTCGAAACGACGCAACCACTTCTACTACAAGTCGTTCGTAAAGCCTATGATAAGTAAAAATGTTTCTGTTCTGAAATATTGGAACTCTCAGCTTATTTTCAAATGCAAATCAACATTAATGTTTACGTCTTAACAAAAGTGGAGACTATTGCATCGAACTCATTCTTATTTTCTTATTTTAACGATTATCAACTGTTGAGGGATCCGAAATAACACCTTAACAATTACGAAGACGTCTGGCGGTCTGCAGACAATACAGAGCCACTCGCCCTCCGGGGCAGTCTTAAATCCCTCGCAGCTCATGTGCAACCATTCCGCGCTCACCTTGCACTGTACAATGTCGTCCCAACACTCGCGCATTGAACAATAACTAAATTGATGTCACAAGTTTGTCTCTTATTGAATCTAGAGGTGTTCGACTGTTGCGGAAAAGGTTCAAAACGACCTTTCTCCAAACATTAAACTAAATACTTGCGCATTTTCCTTTGGTCAAAAGAAACATGCGACAAGTCATTTCCAGCTACCAGTGCGTATGCATTGGCGATGCACATGAATTAAAAACATACTTTAGTTCACACTGGAACTTAAAGTATTGTCTATTTCTAATAGAACATTAAGGATGATGTTTTCACTTAGTTTTGTTGAGGGGTCTAAATCCGCCGAAGGGGGTCCAAACCCACTTGCGGATTTGGATTGGGGGGCTCCATATCCCCTAGCGGATTTAAATGGGGGTGGTCCATATCTGCTAGTGGGGGGTCTAAATCTAGGGGGTCCAAATCAGCTAGGACACTAAGGGAACCTTCACCATACAAAAAAAAAAACAGGTGTTAAGTTTTTTGGAATTTTTCTTCTTGCGGAATTGGTTTGTAAATATGATGAACTAAATATTTACACAAAAAAAAATTCATGTCATGGGCACTTCAACTTGAACCCAGCTCTAACTTGAACCAAAATTGATTTCCCTTGGATTTCCATTGTACGTTTACAGCAATTTTACCCTAACTAACTCAAACCCTCAATAACTTAAACCTCATACTACCTTAAAGCAATTTTCATTTACCTTCTGGTCATTCTCTGTATATTTTTACCCCCTGAAAACTTGAACCACATCTGTCAGTATGTGAGAAATCTAGACACAGTGTACTGCAGTCCAAAATGTTTACTTAATGTCATGACTTCTGCAGAAATGTAGTGTTTTATCATCACTTGTATTCTCTTTAATTAAATTTGATTAAAATGTACACATGTAAGAGTAGAAAAAAGTGAATACCATTTTTCCCTTATTTCCAATACTTTGTTTTCAACTCCTGATAACTCAAATCTTTTTCAATATCCCTTGAAGGTTTGAGTTATGGGGGCTCAACTGTGTCAAGAAAAAGGGTCTCAGTGCCACTTACTTGCCATTCATTTTTTTTTTTCATGTTTTTTTTTTACAAGTAACAGTTAATCTTTTGATAAAAATATCATTCTGCTTTTGTTGCTTTGCTTTTACCTATGGCAAGAACATAGTTAGAATTTATACACAAGAACTTTCAAAACTTCTGTCCCTCCCCTCCCCCATAGACAGTTTAGACCCCTTTGATCAAATACTCGCTCTCACCTTTTACGCAGGTGGTTTGAGGATATAAGGGTTAAATTGTAATATCCATGCAAGGTTGCTGAGTTGAATAATGTTTGCTCTTCAAGCATGGCATGTTGCAAAGCAAAACACCCTTCCAGGGAGGTTAAGGAGAAATTTGATACTCTCCCACACATGATTTCCAGCAATATTGGGCATAGTAATTTGGTATTATCAACTGAGTTGGTAACATAAATCAGTCACCATTAAGAGTTTCAAAGCTGACATTTCGAGCATTAACCCTTCATCATTAGCTCTGACTGAAGGGCTAACCCTTGAAATGTCAGCTTTAAAACGTCAGCTTTAAAACTCTAAAAGGTGGCTAATTTACACTTTAAACTGTGATTATGTGTTGAATGTGTGGCTCTGCTCACCAAACTATCCAGGGAACTGACAGACATGTTCACAGCATTGACATGTAGGGGAAACACCAACAACTTTGACTATTGGTGACCATGTTTGTGATATCATTTCAGTTGCCAATGTTAGAGCATACGATTGCCGAATGTGTGAAAGGGTGTACCAGACTGAGGAGGAACTAGAGAAACATCTGCTTAACCATGCTGAGCATCGCCCCTACAAATGTCCTCAGTGTCAGAAAGGATTTAAACAGCCTTGCCATCTGAATCAACACCTGCGAACACATACAGATGAGAGGCCATTCCCCTGTGAGGTGTGCCGCAAATCCTTCAAGCAAGCTTGTCAGCTTAAACAGCACATGCGGCTCCACACAGGAGAGAAGCCTTATCACTGCTCCCAGTGCAATCGTTCTTTTAAGCAAGCTAGCCAGTTAAACCAGCATGTGCGCCTCCACACTGGAGAGAAACCTTACAAGTGTAGCCACTGTGACAAGACATTCACACAGGCCAGCCAACTGCGATCACACAAGAAGACCCATGATCCTAAACCTGAGAGGAAGTCCATGTCAAAAAAGCCAAAGGTAGTTGCCCGAGGTGCAGTGGTTATGCCTACTTTTACCACCAAGGTCTCTTCGCAGTCCATGTTGTATCATCAGAAACAACCTACTTTCAGTCCTGCTTTAAAAATGGATCCTCCATTTGGTGGAAACTTCAAAAGTGCACACCCATTTGGTACAGGTATGTCTCAGGTATGTCACATGCGAGAAGTACCAGTTTCCTCTATAACACATGACTTTCTGGGATAGATCAAATAAAACTAAGAGCTGTAGTTTCCTTATGTATTTTCAATGCTGACAAGCAAAAAAACATGTGATAATTACAAGGCTGTGATCTTCATACACATTTTGCATTCATATACAAGAACTCTGTTCACTTAAAATCTTTAAACTACAATTTGATTTGGAAACTTCCATTCAGAACCCACTAATCAGAAAGATCTTTGAACAACCAGAACAGTTTAAAGGTGATCTGCCGTAATTGGTCACAAACCTCTCTTTCATCACCTTTAATCATATGTAATATTGATAACTAAACTTTTGATGGTCAACTTTTTGAGGATCTATCTGGTATAATTGAGTTATTTCTAAAGACCAAGCCATTGTACCAGCAGCAATAATAACATTCATGCTGGTGACTTGAGAGTTGGTTACACACACTGTGTTGTGAGACAATAACAGCAAAAGCTAGGACTTTGTTGACTTTAAGACTTAGACACTATTGCTGTTGTTTTTGCATTACACAGTGTGTGAAGTTTCCTCTTCAGTTACTAGTGCAATAGGCTACACAGTGGGGAGGAGTCAAATTTGTAGTAATTGTCAAAAGAGTTTTGTGGAAGAAACATTCCTTACAGTTTAAGTCACTCATTACTGTTGGCTACAGAGAGTCAAACACAAATGTAAAAATGAAATTGATTACTATACACAAAGAATCACAGAACTATTTACTCTTTTCTAATAGTTTCCAGCAAGAGAAATCAATCAAACTTGTGCAAGCAAAAGTTTAGATTACAGCCTTGAATGCAGATATTGTTATGACAATTGTTCTTGTCAACAAATATTAAATTATTGCAGTTTCATATAGCTCATGATAGACATACTACAGTCTGGAATGACAGTGAGCATGCAAGCATTTTCTGAAGTTATTCATCTAAGGGACGGGTGATGAAAAGTGAACACGTGTAAGAAAAGATGAGGAAGATACATGTCCTTGTAAAAGTCATGTAACATTTAACAAAGCTCAAAACTTTTCTGTCCTATTCAGCAGCCGCTGTGCATGTGTTTTGGTTGAGTGAGGACCTGTAACATGTAACAATTTACTTTTCTTCAACCAGTGAAAGATGAACTCTGAAAAACATCAATGCTTCAAATTTTTGGCAAAATCTAATGTAAACAGGACAATGACAGGAAACAAATTGCATATCATAGTAGCTTTTTGTGCCCAGGAAAATAGTTCCTTATGTTGAAAAGCTTGCATGCCCACTGTTCTTTCAGGTTTGTCCACATGAGTTATGGTAATGAAATTACCATGTAGGGCTTTTTGTAAGCAAGATGAATAATTCTATATAAATATTCCATTGGTGTAGTTTAGCCCATGTGCCATGTACATTGGATGAATTGTCTTACAGAACAAGAGAGATGGGTATGTAGGGTGTGGGTGCCGTGATTGAGAATGATGGTCAGCTGTTAATATTATGGACCTTTTGAGGAGAGTATTAATGGGGTTATAACCAAGAGGGGTTTCACAGACTCTTAACTCTAATTTCTTCCCATGCTTTTCAGTAACATGCTTTATCTGGAGTTTCAGTTGTATTGTTTGAAATGAATATTTTTCTATCAGGCTGCTTTTAAATATGGAAACATTTGCAATGTATGCAATAAGCTGAATTATACTTGCATTTTGATTGGTTCTAATGCTTAAATGATCTATTGGACAGAATCATAGATGACATTACCATGAACAACATCTTTCTTTTAATCACATAAAACAAACTGCTTCTATGTTGCTGTGGGTTTGTACAGTGGCAGATCAAAGAAGACGTCAAAATGTGGTGATAACATCAATGACACACCTGGCTGTGCCTGGCATGTCCCTTTTTTGTTCTTACCACATTTCGACATCATCTGTGATCTATGGCTGAATGGGACATATGGTGAAATGGAATCTATTTTTTAAGTTATGTAAGGTTCAGAAGGAGAAATTTGATGTGTTTTGTTTGCTTCTGCATTTTGATATCTGTTACAAAATTGATAGACAGCAACATGAAATGAAATAGAACCTCAGAGTTAACTTGTTACTGGCATAGCAACCAATTGGCTTGTGATGCATTGGTTAAGATTTGCATCAGACAACACTGAGGCCAAGCCTCCTGTAACATACACCATTCTAAGATAAACACATGTGAATTGTGTCTCTTCCAGCAAACCTAATGAAGCAGTGTAAGCTTCTTGGCTAGTTTGCAAGACATAAACTTATGCATTAGATTTGGCACCTGTAGCCCCTGAGGGGTGCAATGTGATAAATTGACACACCTGCATTTCATCATTAAAGTTTCATGTACTTTGTCTCTTATTCGCCTTTTCTTCTTGCGAAAAAAAGAAACTCTTAATTCCTCATTAGGGGAATAACTTTTATTGAAAAACCTGTGAAAGCTGTCAGTTTTCAAGCAACATTTTGGATTCTGTAATTTGTGATAAAGGGATTTTTTATATCTTTCACTGATGACTCCCCCACTCCATTAGTACTCTCCTTAAAAAACCTAAGCACATGTAGTAGTAACATATCAGATGCTGACCCCTGGAGAATAAGCATATACACAAACCATAAGTTCAGGTTCATGTGCATGTGGCTTCCAGTTCTTGAAACATTTTTGCAGTAGCCAGGGTTCCCAGAAAATGTGATTTACTACATGGCTCCAAGCTGCAACTTTATTGGTCACAAGAGCAACTGAAATTGAATTTTTTTTTAGGCCTTAAGTTTTACTGAGACAAGAAATTGCATAAGATATTATGAATGTCCTGTAGTTTTCTCTTGTGAAAACTTGCCCAGTTTTCCTTGGTGATCTGTGTGTGAAGCCAAAACCTTGAGATATGCAATAATTTTTCTGGCTTTTTTCCCATTTTTGTTGATTAACTGCTAACTTTTGGTGATCAATCTAGGATTTAAATTCACCAAATAGCCACTTCCAAAACCACAAGTGTCCCAAGCTCATGTCTCTAGAAAAAGGAAAATGGTCAATTCATGAAAGCATCACACAGCTAAGTTATGTAAGGAACTGTTAAGATTTCTTGTTATAAGACAAATAACAGGGATGGCAAAGCAAGTTGAAAACAGCAAAGAACACCAGAAACCACAATGGAAAGACAAGGAGTAAGTTAGTTCTTTCAATCTTTTGTGTAAAATGTTTATACTTCAAAATAGTCAGCATTGTAAATTGTTTCTCTCCCCATACTATTTTTTATAACAGGTTCAAATTCTCAACAGTTCCTTGCATAACTTAATACTACATTACACAACACATGAGCCTTTCATGAATTAATCTTTTGCATTTTCTCAAGACCCACGCTTGGGATGCCTGTGCCAAAACAAGTTCAGCTTGGAGCCCTGAATAACTATAGCTACCATTTGCAAAGTAATTATAACAGGCAGTTGGAAAACAGCTAAGACATACCTGAGAGCTGGTAAATGTGATTTATTCGCACGAACCAGTAGTACCCAGAAATACAAGTTTAGTCTCCAGATACTTTTGAAAAAATTGGTAGAGAATACTAAAATATTTTGGTTTTAGTTTTGAGTGCTCATTGGGGGAAATAGCCAAAGTTCAAGATAACTGAAATCATGAGATTTCTGCACTTTTCCTTCATTAAGTGTACAGAGCACGTTTAGATGATGAACTGATGTTTTTAATCATTTTGTACATCAGGATAATTGTTACAAATTGTTAGTGCTGATAAATTGTGTATAGTAATGTCGCTGAATGACTCAAAACTATTTTTTTTATACTAATATTAATAGTTATAATGTAAAACTTGGAGCAGTTTCAAATTTAGTGTTGACATTTGATAGGGCAGGATGCCAAATGTGGCAAGAGAGGCAGGTGCATTTACATAATTATTTACATGACAAATGCAGTAAATCTCACCTCTAATAGTCCAGGCCCCAGTTGTTTGAAGATTGGATAGCACTATCCACTGGATAAAACTCTACCCACTGGATAACGCTATATGTTTAGCTATTACTTATCTGCTGGATAGCAATTCATCCATTGGATAATGTTATCCGCCCTTTATACAACTGGGCCTAGATCATCAATGATACCACGATGGCCCTAGAATATATTCTTGTTCCTGGCATCTGACAAGCCAACCAACCGACAAATTGACCACAAGTGGTCAATGAGTGATGAGTTTCTGCACAAACTCAGAAAACCAGTCTTGCAAAGGAGTTATTTATAGCTTCACAGCCCAAAGCATTACACTGTCAAGAATCAGTTTTCAAAAAAATTTGGGTTTTAAATGCTTGCAGATTCTCACTATGCAACCTCCTAGTCACTGTCCAGGTTTAAAACACTAAATTGGATACTGCTCTGTAGAGACGCTAATAATTTAGTTGCGCTAGATTAGAATATGTGAAGACTTTGTAGATATTTGAAAAAATCATGCCGAGTTATAGAAATGTGAGGTTAATTTATTAATTTTATAGTTACTGTAAATTATTATTTTGAGGGTAACCAGTACCTTTTCTCATATGTCTGGAGACAATAAATCCAAATGGAGCAGAAGCATACATTATATATTAAGGATTGTAGTACACCATACTAGCGTTCAATAGCATGCGTTAGCTAGTAGCATGGATACCATGCAGATGGAAATAAATTATAAATCAGTATTAGGTGGTGTGTAAAACATACCTGGCCCAGTAATGTAACATCCTAAGTACTTCTCGTTGTTTGTCACATATCAATCAACTCATGGAGTGTTGGCAAATAAAGCCTAAATGTTTTTTAGATCTGAAACTAGTTCTGCAGGGATTGTAGACTTGTAGAGCAAGTGTTAAACTTACAACAGATTGAGGCAAACTCTAGATTTGTTCGACCAAAATTAATTTTTCTTGATACCATATCTGTATTCTAAGGAGCAGGCTGAGGTGTGACTCAAAGTTTCCTCATTTACTGAAAAAAAAAATGGTTCTCTCAAAATCCATAACTTTGTAGGTAACATTTTCTTCTAGTCCATTTGATTGTTCACAGCTTTTCTTTCTTTTGTTAATACCGGACTACAAGGGAAGCAAACTTGATTGCATTCTGTTATCACATATCTTAATCAAATAACCTAAGAAAAAATTCAGGAAAATACCAAATATTCAAAATATCAGTCTACAAATTATCAGCCATTTAGCTCCTATCTAAATAGCTATACAAGTTAGAAAATTTGTGTATGTTTTAAGCTTTCTTTCCAATGTTCTTCTGCTGAAGTAAAAAGTTGCAAAAATTACTTCCTACCAGAAATTTTAGTCCTCCTAAAATAAAAAATAGAAAAATTGTTCCTGCAAAGTAAATCTGGTCAGCAGCACTGGAAAGGCTGTGAACAGTCCTTGGGGCTGAAAATTGTTCATAGGAAGCCTCCAGAGGGGTTTATGTAGGGAATCCACATATATTGTGTTATCTAACAATTCTGTAGAAAGCTTAAGTCCTAAACTGAGCTTTTTATGAGATAAAGGTTTGGAAATGTTTCATAGCTTTTAGAGAATGCCTTCCAAGTTAGGCTCTAATTGGTTTCTTCCATCAGTACTGCTGCATGGCGATCACATCTTTATTTTGCCAACTTTCTGTACTAGCATCACAGTTCAAAAAATGACTCTCATGATCTTGCCTACATTCCTATTGTTACCAGAAAAAATATAGGATATATCTATAACGATAAATACAGGAAACAACACATTTCCTATTCTGTCAGTGTGGGTGTTTTTAATATAATACAAAATGGATACATTTTTCTTTTAAATAGAAGAGGGCAGTCTCTGCTTTCTCTAGCATATCATCTTGCAATAGTAGCAAACCCTAGAGTGAAATTTCATGGACTTGAATTTTTTTGCTTTGATTTAAATAGAACTCAATCTTAATTTTTAGGTAACTTAATATATTCTTCAGAGTATCCTCTGACTTATTTTCAACAATGCCACTTTAAGCAACAGTTCTTTTAACAGCAGTTGTTGGAGCTGTCGCATGATGTATTCCTTACAACATCGTTATCATCATTGTTACCATGTCTTTGTGTGTATCACTAAGACTTATTTACAAGGATAAAGCATTGCACGACTGCCCAACTGACTGCTGGTGAAAGGATTTGTGTTTCAGGTAAACTAACCAATAGTCATCATACCAATTGGGGGAAGAACGTTTATTAATCCAGGACATTACCACCTATTGCAAAGCCGCTTATGGTAAAAAAATTATTGAAAACCTATGCTATCATTTAATGGAAAGAAGACAAAACCCTCTCATCTTCCCCTTTTGACACCAGCCATGCTGCCTAGCAAAGTAATGGCCTTCTGACGGTGTTACCTGACATTTTGTAACTGTGGTTGCTATAATAGCTTAGTGTGACCTCAACAGTTTTAATTCATTTTATCTCATGAGAAATAATGATCAGCTCTTAGAACTTGTGTGCAGTTAGTACCTCGCTATTTTGCCTAATGTTAATTAGTTCATAGTAATGTTTGCATCTGTTTACTAAAGATGTTACTTGTTTTATGCAACCCTTCACTTCCACAGTTTAAATCTGGACAATTATTGTTCTCATTAATTTATTTCTATTTTTATTTTGTTTTCGTTGGGTTTATTTTTTATTTTTTTGCAAGGAGAGGTACTGAACAGCTCTTTCAGTATTCTGCTTATTATGCCGTCCTTTGAGACTAATGGAGGAAACCAAATATGCAAGCTTTTATATTAAAGCATATTGTTTTTTCTGCTTTTCTTATTAATTTTTTCGTTATATTAACCCTCTACAATCTTTCTCGAGAGTGTAAGGGTTGTATACTAGTTTCAGCTACTAAAAAGACGAACTTATGAGAACATATATTCCAAGTCTTACTATTATTAATGCTATTAGTTAAAAGTTATGACGTTTTGTTAACATCCTATACTTAATTTACCAAGAATTTGGTCCTGTTTTGTTTTAGTCTGGCTAGTGACACATATGTTGGGAAATAGATGGAGAAATGTTAAAGTTAAGTTATTTGTTTTCCTAGAAGAGATGTAGATGTGTTTTGAGATAGTGATAGAAATATTTATATTTGGTTTTTAGGTAGATACAGTTATAAGACTGTTTAACTCCTGATAACATATTGTGTATATAAGTGAAATCGGTAAAACTTGATAAGAAAGGTCCATTACTCATTATTGTCAACATAGCAGGTCCAAAAAAAAAAAACAACCTTTAAATTCAGTATAATTTGACGTTCTATCATGTAATGTTTGTGAATCAAGAGTGAAGTAATTGAGGAATAAAACACCGGCCTCTCATATGGCCACCACTTGGAAAATGTTTTTTATTACTTGTCTGAGACCAAAATTCTTGCAACGACAGGATCTCATTTTACTGCTTTACTGCTGCCCAGGAATTTATATGACTGAAAATATTCCCCATCTCATTTAATATTAAAAAAAGAAAAAAAACTTCTTGGCCCCCCCCCCCCCTTCCCTATCAAAAAATTCCTGCATCCACCCCTGAATATGCCTTGTATTTTTCTAGTTCGACATTTGCTATTTCGCCCCAGTCAAGGGACTCATCGGTGACAAAACATCACATTGAATCGTCGCTAAAAAAAACACTCATTTTTGACCATTGGCGACCTCGTAACTGTGCCATGGACAGAGGGATAGGAATCCGAGCTTCCATCTCCCCCAACTCTGTAACTTGTAAGCAGGCCCTCGTCATCAGCGCTTCGAAGTGAACCTTTTCCTCACCTACTGGAAATTATAAGGTCTTGAGCTACGCTAATCAGCAAAAGGTCTTAAAAGGATCTAACTCTTAAAATGTCAGATTCCCTGGAAACCTCTCCTCGACTCGTCTTAAATCTTCCCGCAGGCGGAGAAATGCTCGTTCTGCAAAGCTAACAATGCTGGCCCGCTCGCAAGCTATCAACGTTGAGTTCCATCCCCTTCTCATAACTCGATGAAAACTGTAGACTGTTCAGTTAATTTTAAGGTGCTCGCAGATTCGCTCTTCTCTCGCCCTTTTCCCTCGGCATTCCCTTTTCCGTAGGCATTCCCCCCCCCCCCCCCCCCCCCCCCCCCCCCCCCCGTCCCCCGTCATGCAACTGGCAATCCCTATGTGACATTGGGCCAGTTTGTCAGCATCATTTTGGGAAGCTAGCGCGACTTGTGTTTGCTTAACGTTTAACAGGCCCGTTAAAAATATGGATAGTGACGTCTTGTACTCCTTTTTTGACCCTGTCATTCATAGGATTGGGAGTGGCAGCCAGCCATACGTCAACAAGATTTGCTCTCAATCGTTTGTTTGCGTTTGTCGCGTGCAGACGTCTCTCGTGCAGAAGGAAGATTCCTTACACGATAACTTAATACGCTGCTTTTTTAACCCCTCACTGTTCCCCTTTTCAGCACGCAAAAGATATCTACCACCGCGCTTGATCCGCTGGGCCCGTCTACATTGCTTGTCGCTTTAAGAACTTGAAAAACAATTTTAAAAAAAAACACGCCTGATTTGATATTCTCGGAAACTTTAGGCGAAGTTGTATAACTTGCCTCTTGAGAACGTGAACCTTTTTCAAACAGTAATAAAGGAACTCAGACCATATTTGATACCAGGGGCCCATCACTCGATAATAAATACATCTGTGTGTAACATCTTTAAGGTTGCACATGATTGGAAAAAAAAATTTCGGTTCATGGTATTTAAGAGTATATAAACCTTAGCCAATAAGTTGCACCACGAAATTATAGAGTCTGTTTCCAGTGTCAGATCAAGAACAGCTTTTGTATTTAGCGCTGCACATACCCTATGAATATTTATTTGTATTTAGCGCTGTACAGCCTATGAATACAAATGAGTACCGATCGATGGCCCACACGTAGGTGGTCGCCTGAATTTACTCGGCGTTAAGTATTACGTAACTTGTGCTCCAGTTCGCCCAATTCTTCTTTCCTTTGCCGGTTGTAGAAGTAAATAGCACCCCAGATTGCAGATTAAAATTCCGACGGTTATAAAATGTTTGCCGACAAAACTGATACA